AATAGGAAGGAGTCCGGAGGAGTTAAAGATCAGAAGAGGATGTAAAATTAACAGCAAGATGATTAAGATGAATTGTATTATTTCACTTGGATAACAATGTTACAAAGCTGGTAACTTATACAACCAAAAAACTGGAGTGGTGAGCAAGCAAGAGTTTAACTAAATAGATGTGTGAATCAATATTGTTACAACAGATCATTGTGGTCCCAAAGATGAGTCACTATTAGCTGGATTGTGTACTACTAACGATATTGAGCTTATGCTACTGGAGGGGAATCTTGATTAGTTGAATAAGTATCACTTAATGATGATTTTAACAGACTCCCTCAAGATGGAGTTTTACTCATTAACTCCTAGCTTGTCTTTCAGAAAAAGGAATCTGGAATGGGAGAGAGGTTTGGTGAGCAAGTCGGCAATTTGATCAGATGAGGGAATGTATTGGATCTTTAATTTTCCTTCAAGGACTTTATCTCTCACAAAATGTATGTCAAGTTCAATATGTTTGGTTCGAGCATGGTAAACAGGGTTAGAAGCCAGTGCACTGGCGCTTAAGTTATCACACCATAGAATAGGGGATGAAACAGACTCCAGTTTGATTTCTTTAATAAGTGACTCAATCCAACTTATTTCAGCTGAAGCCTGTACAAGTGCTCTGTACTTTGACTCAGCACTTGATCTAGAAACAACCTACTGTTTTTTAGAAGATCGGGCAACTAAGGTATCACCAAGGTACATGCAATACCCTATTGTAGACCTCTTGTCATCTGGGCAAGAAGTCCAATTAGTGTCTTCAAAACCTGTGATGTTCAAGTTGGTACTTCTTTGAATCAATAGGCCTTGTTCCATGGTTCCTTTAAGGTATCTGAATACTCTCTTTGCTGCCTTCCAATGAGTGTCAGAAGGTGTTTGAAGAAATTGGCTTAATTTGTTTACTGCAAAGATGATATCTAGCCCTGTGTGGGCAAGGTACTGAAGGCCACCAATGGCACTTCTGTACAGTGAAGGATCAGTCACCTTCTCACCTTCATTTTACTTGAGCTGTGTAAGGTGCATACTAGATTCAAACCTTTTTAGCTCAATTCCTAAGAACTGATGTAAAGGCGCATACTAGATTCAAACCTTTTTACCTTAATTCCTAAGAACTGATGTAATTCACCCATGTCTTTGAGAGCAAATTGTGAATGTAGCTTGTTGATGAAATATTGCAATACCTTCTAATCATTTCCAGTGATCACAATGTCGTCAACGTAGACCAAATAGAAATTCACACGCTCTTTACTTAGGTAGAAGAAAAGAGAGCCGTCAGCCTTTGATTTGGTGAACTTCCAGTCCAGCAGAGTTTCTTTCAATCTTTTATACCATTCTCTGGGGGCTCGCTTAAGCCCATGAGAGCATTTTCTAATCTGCAAATAGAATTTGGATTTGCTTTATCAATGAATCCCTCTGGCTGTTTCATAAAGACAACCACAGTTAGCTTTCCATTAAGGAAAGCATTATTAATATCAACCTGCCTGATACTCCACCTTTTAGACACGGCTAGTGATAGTATTATCCTTAAGCTAGAAGCCTTAATTACTGGACTAAAGGTCTCATGATAGTCGATGCCAGAAGTTTGTAGAAAACCTTTGGCGACCAACCTTGCCTTGTGTTTTAAAACATTACCTTCAATATCTCTTTTGAGTCTGAACACCCATTTGTTACCTATAACTTTCTGATTCATCTCAGGTGGTTCTAGCTTCCAGGTTTTATTTCTCATAAGGGCTTTGTACTCTTCCTCCATAGCCTCTCTCCATGTTTTATCAGATAGAGCTTCAAACACATCATTTAGCTCAGAATTGCTTAGTTCATTTTTGGAATTCTTGCAAAGTGCTGAGTAAACTTTTGGTTTGAAAATGCCTACTCTACTTCTAGTAATAATAGGATGCTCAGCATGTTGTATTTGAGTCTCAACTTGTTCCTGATTGATATGATCATTTGACTCAGTTTGTTCAACCTCAGTACCTTCAGTTCTATTACAAGGATCACCATTTTCAACTACTTCTGGGGACTCATTTTCAATTTTCTCAGGTGGATTTGAACTGTGAGATGTTGCTGGTTGGGTTGAACTAGGATGGATTTCATCAGACAATCCCACAAGACTGAAGTTTGAAGGAATGTTGAGAGAAAAGTATTGAATGGTGGTTTCAGAGGGATGACTGATTTTATTAAGGAAACCATGCTGAAATGGGAATTCATTCTCATTAAACACAACATGCCTAGACAGATATATTTTGCCAGTAGGACTAAGGCATTTATTACCTTTGTAAGAGTCGCTGAAACCAAGGAAGACACACTTGATGGAATGAAAACTGAATTTGTGAGGCTGGTATGGTCTTAGACAGGGAAAACATGCACAACCGAAGATTTTGAGTGATTTGTAACTGAATTCTTCATTGTTCAGAACTTGGCTAGGTGATTTCATTTGAAGCACAGGTGTAAGAAGTTTGTTAATGAGGTAGGTGGCTGTGTGAAATGCCTCTGTGTGAAATGCCTCCCACTAGTAGTGCAGAGGCATACTAGCTTGGGAAAGAAGTGTTAAGCCTATTTCAGTGATGTGCGATGCTTTCTTTCTGCTTTGCCATTTTGGAAGGAAGTATAAGGACATGAGAATCTCATGTGAATTCTTGACTGAATAGCAAGCTCAGTAAAGGTCCTAAACTCTCCTCCCCAATCAAATTGGAGAGTTCTAATTTTTGTATTGAATTTATTTTCAACCAAGTTCTTAAATTGGATAAAAGAGCTTAATGGTTCAGATTTGGTTTTCATAGGGTATATCCAAGTAAATCTACTGTAATCATCTATGAAGAGAATATAGTATTTAAACCCTGATGTCGAATGCAAAGGGGCTGGACCCCAAACGTCTGTGTGAACTAAGTCAAAAGGTGCTGAAGAGAAAGATGTTAAGAGTTTAAAAGGCAATGAATGAGCTTCACCAAACTGACATGCGTCACAGAAAGGATGGGCTTCATTGATATTAAGCTTTTCATTACATAGTTTGAACACTTGGGACATTACAGAGATAGAGGGATGTCCTAATCTTATGTGCCATAACTTTAGGTTAGACAAAGACCCTGTGAGACCTTTTGACTGAGCAACAAAAGTGGAAGATCTAAAACTATTTGAGTGAGTAGGAGACTGAGTGACTTCATTTGAGGCAGGGGACTAAGTGACTTTATCTGGCAATTGAATCTGATACAATCCATGCTCAATTCTCCCTTCCAATAGCAGCTCCTTCATTCCTTTGTCCTTGATAGCACAAGAATCAGAGTGAAATTCCATGAATACTTTATTATCAGAGGTTAATTGCGAAACACTTAACAAGTTTTTCTTGATTGAATGAACTAGCAGTATATTGTTAAGAGCAAGTGACTTATTGTTTCGTGTATTGAGGTGATTTATGCCAATATGAGAGATGGAGAGTTTGTTACCATTTCCAACAGCAAGTTTGTGCTTACTACCATATTCTAAAGCTTCAATCAAATTCTTTTTTTCTGCTGTGACATGATTTGTGGCTCCTGAGTCTACATAACACGTTAGATCAACCACTATTCTAGAGAAAGCTAGCAAGGCAGTTGGTTCTGGAGAGCTATTCTGATACTGATAATCTTGTTTGATGCCCATGTACCTTTCATCATAGCGGTTTAGCACCTGGCAGCTGAGTGATTGTTCATACCACATATTTGGCAAGCATTTCTGTTAGTAAAGAATCTACTTCCTCTACCTCTGCTTCTGTTTCCTCTATAGTTGTTCCTGCCACCATAACTGAATCTTCTTTCCTTGAAGGTGTTTGGACTGTGAATAAAATTGGATGATGCTTCACTTAAATTTACTGATGCTAGACCATTTTTCAAGGTACTGAGGTGCTCAATTCTGCTTTCATAAGTCATAAGTATTGATTGTAGTTCATGCCAAGTGATGGATTCTCTGCTGTTGATTTGAACCACAATGGGGGTATATTCATCATCCAATCCAACCATGACTTGAGTCATAAGGTTATTGTGTGGAATGATTTTTCCAGCAATTTCAAGGTTATCCACAAGTTGTTTGATAGTGTTGAGATATTTATCAATGCTCGTACCTCATTTTCTGGTCCTCCGACGTTCACTGACAAGGAAAATAACCCTTGATCTATTCATAGCTCCAAAGCTTTAAAGCACAGCGTTCCAGAGGTTTGAAGACTTTGATGATCCCATGACTCTCATTGCGATTTCCGGTGTCATTGACGAATACAAACAACCCATCAATAGTTGATCTGTCGACATCCATTTTCCAAAGTCAGGATTAGGCGCCATTTCCGCTGTAACCCCAATTGAACCAGTGGTCTGAACTGTAAAAAATTCAGCAGGACTGCTTCTTGTTCCTGTGATGAATCCTTCAAGATTGTGGCCTTTGATGATTGGCATTACCATGTTTTTGCAGAGTAAAAAGTTGTTTCGATCAAGCTTGACTAATGGAACTGGGGTTAGAGTTATCCTAGGTGTTTGCATCTGATTTCCTTCCAACATTGGAGGCATCAAATTGCTGGAGGTGTGCTGTGCTGACTGAGTATTGTCGTTTGATCCGGTATTAGCCATTGGCTCTAATACCAAGTTAAAGATCAGAAGAGAATGTAAAATTAACAGCAAGATGATTAAGATGAATTGTTTTATTTCACTTGGATAACAATTTTACAAAGCTGGTAATTTATACAACCAAAAAACTGGAGTGGTGAGCAAGCAAGAGTTTAACCAAATAGACGTGTGAATCAATATTGTTACAACAGATCATTGTGGTCCCAAAGATGAGTCACTATTAGCTGGATTGTGTACTGCTAACGGTATTGAGCTTATGCTGCTGGAGGGGAATCTTGATTAGTTGAATAAGTATCACTTAATGATGATTTTAACAGGAGGGATCAAGTCTTGCAGCCATTCTGATACCTTTCCATGATCAGTTGAATGGAGTAATATCATCGACCAATTTCACAAAACATCACGATGTTCATAATCAAATATTTTTATATGGAGTAATTCTTCCTTTTCCTGCACGTATGCATCATCCAATCTGTTCGGAGTTCTAGGGCAAGCAGGACCGGGGAAGGACAACGTTCTTCTCCTGAAAACACTGAAATATGAAGGGTTATTGGGCATCTTATCAGATAAGGATTGTGTTCTCCTTGTTGAAACACTAACATATCGAAGGTTATTGGACGTCTGATCAGAGAAGGATGGCAGCACCAAAGGTCCAATACTGTCTTGTGCACCTTCTATGAGTGGTTCACAGTATACTTCAGGTGAAAATTGATCATATCCATGCCAATATGCAACCAACCAGTAGATTAGAAAGTTGACAAAACTTAAAAGTGTCAGCATCGCATAATAATTGTCCAAACGACTTGAATCTATATCCTGCCCAAACCAGCTGCTGAAAATGAGGATAAAAATTACACTAAGAAACTTTCCGATGCCTATCACACATTCTCCAAACGGTGGTCCGTAGTTCTTTAGGGATTCAGATACCTGGGAACGGAAGAAACTTTGAAGCCCACCTTCTGAAAGTCCTTTCATAATTCCCAAGAAGATAAATTGTGGAGTTAAGCTAAAAATATCCGTATGTATACTTGGCTGGGTGTATGTATTGACCAAATACAGCCAGTGAACTGCATTTTTCCAAGCAAATATGCAACAAATGACAGAAAATGTCATTCCAATACCGATGCGCCCCTGCATTATGAGTTGTCCATTCATTTCACTACCAATTTTTCGAAATAGAAAGTCACATAGACGTTCAATTACAAATCTTGTGACTTTTACTAATATATTGAAAACAGTAGTAGGGAAATTGTCATTTATGTTGCTAGCTTGTTCGAGAAAGAAGGTGCTCCCTGTTGCATCAACCAGATTGTATGCAAGGAACGTTATCCACATAGGAACCATCCCCAATAAAAATTTCACTTCCTTCACTTGTGCAACGGAGCAAGGCTGTCAGGCCTATTTTTCTCTTCAATCACAATGGGAGCTTTGTCTAACCACCTGTCGTTTAACAAACAAAATGGAGTACGTGGTTAGTAAATAAGATCAATGATCTCATAGTCTACATTGTAAGTAAGAAACCAAGTGAAGGGACATACCTCAACCATGAAATACGAGGCTCAATATGTGACGTAGCGGAAGATTATAGGAAAGATGAAAAACCTCACAAATATGAGATAAACTCACGAAAGTTTTTATTCAATTCAATAATGTCTGGCTCGAAGGGCTTACAATGGTTTAAATAGCAAAACCCTAGCAAATTTCGGAAAATAAATAATAAAAATAAAAAAAATGATATTTTTCCATAAATGGAAAAATTCGA